AAGGAAGGAACGATTCTGCCTGTGCTCTGCGAGATTACAGACCCTCTCTGGTTAATTTTTTCCTCTTTTTCCCCTACAAGCGGGTGGATTCGATCTTAACTTTGCATGGAGAACAGAATGCTATGTGTGAGTGCGTGGGTGAGTGAGGGTTTGACACACACACCAGCCACACTCCCACCCCCATCTATGAGGGCACACACCACACCCCACACCCCGGCACCCCATTTCTCATGCTTTAAGTGTAAGCATCTTCGCAGCACGAACCATAGGTCCCTTGGAAGGAGAGTCTGAGGTCTTTGCCTTTTTTGCAGGCGCGTTGCATTTATACTCAGGGAGGGAAAAAAAAAATATATCACCAGGCACAAAGGGAGGAGGGGCGGGGAAAGGAAGGCGGGGGAAGGGAGGAGGAGAGGCCTCGCGCTCAGGTGAAATTAAAATTGGAGGTCAGTTCCCGGATCCGATTCTCTCGGTTCATTTTCTTGAGTTTCATTCTGCGATTTTGAAACCAGATTTTGACTTGTCTGTCTGTAAGGTTAATGGTCTTGCTAATCTCCAGGCGGCGCTCTCGCGTCAAATACATATTGAACAGAAATTCTTTCTCCAATTCCAGCGTCTGGTGTTTAGTATAGGGGCACCTCTTCTTCCTTCCGCTCTTTGCTGTCAGCCAATTTCCTGTGGTGTTTTCTGCCTTTATCTCCTCTGTTAAAAATAACATTATTTGCATAAGTATCCCTCGAAGTCGAAAACCCTCTCAGCGCTGCAGCCTTTGCCAGCCTGCTGTGGGGTGGCTGAGGGAGCATAGGGGAGCTGCTCTTGCCCTAGGGGCCTGGCCGGTGGGCTCCTCTTAGGCTCAGGGTTCTTACAATTTCTCTGGGGCTTAGACTTAGGGAGATAAAGGGAGGAAGTTCTTGCCTCCAAGCGTTTATTAAATTTAAATTACCCAAGTCCACCTTAATCTAAAAGATCCTGAGTACCCTCGCTTTCCCCCAGCTGGCTGACCCTGGCAGATTCCCTACATCTTGCCAGGTCCCCCCTTCTCTCTGTTCCATTCCAGCTCTGGAAAAATCCAACCAGAAGGAAAAGCATTTTCCAGGCCCCAGACCAGAGCAGAGTCCACCCACAGCCCAGAGAAATTCCCAGAGAGCTTTGACCTGTTTCAACTTGGTGGAGGGACTTTGTTCTAGGATCTGTGGCCAGAGGCCATTGCAGTGGTCCCTGCACTGGACCCCCAGCTCTTACCCCAACCTAAGCTGCCACAAAGTGACTCTGCTCCCTTAGGTCTCCCATTGCCATCTCTTCCTCTCTTAATCATTTTCCCCAGGTATGTGTAGCTGAGGCAGGGGAGCTTGTGAGAGCAGCAGAGGTCAGGGACAACAGAGCTGGGGTATCCTAAAGGGTCCTCAAACAACTTTCCTGGTCAAAGGACCTAAGCTCAAGGGAGAGACATATCCTGAGGAAATGCAGCCTCCTAGAAACCCCCTGCCCAATCTGTGCATACGTAGATGTATATGCCTGCAAGTACACATGTATACCTGCAGAGATACACACACCTATACATGTAAGTACACACACACAGATAAGTACATGTGACTATTTATGTAAGGAGATACTATAGAATACTGTGCATTTCCCATGATCTTATTGACAGCCTCTCTCCCTGACACCCATTTTTGCTGAAATGGACCAGCCCTGCTTCTCAAGCAGCAGAAGGGAACCTGGCCATCTTTTTAAGGGCAAAACACAGAGTCCAAAGACCTGAGAGGACACCCAGCAAAGGACTCTGCTCATGGCTCTGAGCTCTCTCTCCTCCCTATTCCAAATCAGACTGCCAGGTTCCTGGATCTTATCTTGATGGGGGTGGGGTGGGGCGGGGGCCTAAGAGGAACCAGAAAACACACAAAAAAGGCAAACTTGAGGCTACAGTCTAAAAAATCTGAATGTTTCGAATTTTCTCTCCTGTCTCTGCACCTGCAGCCTCTTGCCAGATTGTTTACAGGCTCTCCACATATAACTATGTCCTGTTTATTTTCTTACTGAGGTTGTTAGGTTTGGTGGGGCGGGGGGACAAGATAAATTATAAATGGGCAAGTTTAGCCAACAGCTCTCTTGCCTCTGGACTGGTGGAGACATCAAAATAGGAGGAGGGGAAAGAAGGACACAGACAGGGTACAGGGTAAGAGGGATTCCTTGGGGTGGGAGGGATTAGGTTGCTGTGGGGACAGCTAGAGAAAAAGGAGAGCCTATGGGAATGGGTGCAGGTTGAGTTAAGAGGTGAACTTGTTAACCTTGACTTTGCTTTTGGTGGGGCTAGAATGCAGCTTTTCCTGCCTCAAATCTCTCCCTAACCAAGCTCAGGGTCAGTAGAGAGGGTATAAGATTAAACCTTCACACTGCACACGTGCCACAGTAAAGGCTTTGAGGCTGTAGGCACCTCACTCTCCCCCTCATGAACACACCAGTGCTCATCTTCCAGTCAGTGTCTCTATGGGGATGATTTGCCAAGGCCACCTTTGCAGACCCAAGAGGATGAGGCTCTGCCCTTGCCCACCAAAAGAGTGCCCATGCATGTGTGAGTGGCATGTGTGAGTGTGCAAGAAGCATGCAATACGGATGTGTGTGAGTGTGGCACAGGTCGCCCGTAGGCATGCGTGTGCGTCGCGTCCATATACAAAGCACCAGGAGATCCAGGCCGCCTCTAGCCTGCTCCACTCTCAATATTTCATCTGCCTCTATACCCAATGAGCCCCTTATATTCTGTCACCATTAGCCGGTGTTGTGGGGAGCAGGTTTATTCTTCCCCGTTGGTTGGGCATTTTTCTGAGGCTCTTTGCTACAACTTTTCAGGAAAAGTCGTTCCCCTCAGCTTCCCTCCCCTGCTCCCGTTTCCTCCACATTCTTTCCCCAAGTATTAGAGACAGAGAAAGATCCTCAAGGCCTCCAGCTCCTACAGCAGAAATGAATCTTGAACTCTGAGCTTGAACTCTGGCTGGGCTTTCTCTCAAACCAAATTACAGTGAAATCCAACCAAAGCCACATTCCCTTTCAGGAGAAAACCTCTTGCCACGCACACAGAAATTTCCCAACCACTCATTTGTAAGCTGCTTTTGGAAACCAATGAAAAAAGATAATTTAACTAGAAAAAATGGAAAGGAAAAAATTAAAAGAGGAAACAGAAAACTTACAACATTCCAAATGCCCTGTTCCAACGCCATCCAAGCCAGGCATCTGGAGGAGGGAGGGCCGTGGCCGGCAGCCCTTCACCTCCACCTCTTCCGGCCCCAGCCTCGCTGCCCAAGGCCCCCGGCCGAGCAAAGCCGCAGGAGCCCAAGCCGCACGCACAGATCAGACCCACAAACAACAAATCGCGTTTCGCAGGAAACAATTTTCAACTGGGAAAACGCAGTAAAGAGAACCCCCATCTCCCCAGCTTCCCTAGTCCCTGGCCCAAGATCGCCATTTTAGGCTTTTTGCAAGCCCCGGACCTGAGCTGGGGGACATCAGCTCCCCAGGACACCAGCATTGAGAAAGCATACCACAGCCAGCACGCGCCTGGGAGCAGCCACCCGTCCGGGGCAGCACACTGCGCCTGCAGGCTGCCCGCGGTGCGCACCGCCCCCGCCTTAGCACCCATGGCCGGGGCCGGGCAGACACCTCCACGTCGCCGCTTACCTTCCCCAGCTAAGTGACGCGCCATCAGCCTGGAGCTCAGCAGACACTAGACGCAAGCCAGGGTCGTATTCCCGAAATGGTCTGGGGCCTCCTGGGCCCAACCCTCTCCCCTGCACGCCTCCCCCGGCCGCGAAGACCAAGTGCCGGAACGTCCCAGTAGCGCCCGCGGCCCAGGCGGCCTTACCTTTCGCTTCGTTATCCGAGGTGTCTGGGCTGGAGTCAGCAGTTTTAGCCCTCTCCTTTTCGCTTTCCGAGGGGCTGCCTTTAGGGCCCGCCAGGCTCTGCTCCGTCTTGATCTCATTGGGGCTGGGGGTCTGGTTGTCGGACTTGGGGGTCTCAGGGAAACTCACTTTGCCGCCCAGCTGAGGCGATTCCAGATGTTCGGCGCGCGGGTTGAGACTGGCCCGCTGCTCGAAAGGGGCTTCGAAGTCGTTGGCCCCGGAACAGTGGGGCGTCTTGTCCAGCGCGGAGTAGCTCGGGCTGGCGCGGTAGTAGCTGGGCACGGGTACTTCGTGCTCCCCAAGGCAGGACTCCGGCAGGGGGTGGGAGTAGAGAGCTGCCTCGGGGCCACTTTTCGCCCGCTTCTCTGCGCTATACATGCAGCAGACATTCTCCTCCTTGACACTAGGTGGGTAGGAGCAGGAGGACAGCGGCCTGCCAACAGGTTGTTCCAGGCGATAGGCGGCTTTGGGGTCGCCCCAGGAGTCCAGCTGCGAGAGGTAGGACGGATAGGTGTTGAGGGCGAGGCTGGGACTGCCGCCCTCGTCCCTCTTGGAGAGCGAGGGCGCGAGCCCGCAGCCCCTCATCACCCCGCAGTTGAAGTCACTCCCAGACTGCATATACATGCCTGCGCTCCGGCTATAGCGCTCTCCTCCGCCGGGCGCAGCCAAGGGCTCCGTGTACGAGTTCGGAGTTACATTGCGAGGGCATGTCATTTTCAGAGAGAGGGGTTTTTAAGGAGCAATACTACAGCGGAGGAGCTGACATCTTTTTTTTCCCCCATCCGGGAGGGGGGGCGCGGTTGGAGGGGAGGGAGGAAAAAGAAGGGGAGGGGGGGAAATATCAGCTCCATAATTATCCGCGCATTCGGTTCTCACCATGTGACGGCTAGACCAATGGGATTTGAAAATGGCCTTGATGATTCAGACGGCCGTGACGTCAGTGGGGTCAAGTTGTCGGCAGGCGGAGCGCGCAGAGTGGAGTAACAGCGCCACCTAGCAGCTGCCTCGGGGTAGGGGCACCGGAGCCCTTCCCGGCGAACAAAGGAAGCGCCCCCCGGGCTGCAGGGGCGGTAGGGGGGTGGAGGGGGATGGGGGTGAGGGTTCTGGAAAGAGTGGGGTTTGTTTATCCAGTAACCAGCCTGTAACTCCTGGGGAGAAGGGGGCGGAGAGGGGCAAAATGCGGGAGAGAGGGAGAGAGCGAGGCTACCCGGGGCTCAAAACAGTCAAATTCAAATTAAAAGGTCGAGACACGAATCAGGTACTTCTCCCCACTCTTCATCTCCCCTTTTCATCTCCCCGGCCCCGGCTCCCGCTTCTTCCCTTGGGGATGGGAGTGGGGTGAGGTTTTTATTGTGGGGGGAGTGGGGGGATCTGATGAGCAGAGAAAGGCGAAAAAAAGTTAAGGAATCCCAAACAGGACTAAAGTTTCTGCTCTCCCGCCTCCTCTTTTCTCCGGACTTGGCCCTCGGGGCTGGAAGCTTGGGGGCCGCGGCGCTGGAGGTTGGTGGAGTTGCAAGTTCCCTGTGGGGGTTGACGGGGAATCTCCAGCCTCTAGGGTGGGCCAGGGAGGGGGGTCATGGTCACTTCATGGCTGCTCGGAAAAGGAGGTTCCGAATGGACGCGGCGTAGGAGAAAGAGGAAGCCAGAGACCAGAGGCACCCGATCCCCGACCCGAGAGCTGCGGCCTGGGCCTGGCAGGGTGGGCGGCTCCTGGGTCACCATCTCAGGGGCCCACAAGGCTTTGGCCTTGGAGCCGGTTCTGCTACTTTACTTCAGGCCCTGGCGGCCCTCGCTTTCCGTTTGACCTTGCCCCCACTAAAACAGGGAATATTCCGGGAAAGAAAGAGGGAACCTGCGGAGCCTCGGTCAGTTTGGAGGAGTCACGTATGACACGGGAACCAGCACACAAGACACAACAAAACCCGACCCAGAGAGGCGTCCTTTACAGAGCGCATGGGCTGGGAGCATGTTTGAAAGAAGACAGACCAGTATATTTTTGTGGTTGTTTTTAAATAAAAGGAAGAAATAAGGGGAACCGTATTTTTCAAATAGTTATTTCCGTTTTTCCATCGCCTTCTTCCAAAGCGAACTAAACTCTCCACTCCTTCCTCAGGAAACAGAATCTGGAGAACAACTTGTCTTTCCGGTCGCCCCACATTTTTCCCTGGACAGAGCCTGGGGTTCAGACTTTCCGAAGGGCTGGAGGTTGGCGGGGAAAGGACTGGAGTCCAGCGCCCTGGCGTGGAGGAGTGAGGAGGCTAGACCGCTTCTAGGGAGGCCCAAGCCCGCTGCGGCTAGAAGACCACAGAAAGAAATCCTCCGAATTTCCCCATCCAGGGGTGGAGAGAGAAGACGCAGGGGTTCCTGAACCTCCGGAAAACTAGAAGGAAATACGTAGTGTATGATTTGCTTGCATGACCGGCCAGGGGAGATTTGAAATGGTTTTGTGTTTTCATTTGCAGGGTCACCGTGGCCTCAGCATGGGGGTTATCCAGGGCAAGGTTAGGCTGTTTAGGCCCCAGACTTGGGACAGTCCGGGCAGCAGTCAATCCAGGGAGCCATTTGTCCCACCGCCCATCCCGCGGGAAACGGGCGAGACTTTATGGCCACTCTGTTTGTATTATCTGCATTAGTCTTTCCCCACCAGTTTGATCGAAACCGTTCCCTTTTACGAGGACCCAACGAAAATTTCCCGTCATATTTATCAGTCAGGGATAAAAATTTAGTATGGGAACTGATATTTCCTCATTTATGGGACGATGAAATTAAATACCAAAGCAATTGAGAATTATATGGCTTTGGGGGTTCCCTCCCCCCTCTTTCACATCTCCTTTATTTTCCTGCCTGGTGTGCTTTTCCCAGGAATTTAGCGTTCCAGTTCCCTACCCTTACCCCCCATTTTGGAGTCCGGTGCGTCCTTTTCCCCACGGCCAAGTGCCCCTTGGCCACCTTAGCCTTTTCTGTTTTTTCCTCTAGGTGTTAGTAGCTGGGGGCCAGGACAGCGCTACCCGAGCGTCTGCTCAGGCCAGGCCAGGCTGGGATCAGAGAAAGTTTTCCAGGGAAGAACCGCAAAGGGTTTGAGCACAGCTTGGGAGGGGGTGAAGCAGTCGGCAGCAAAGGGTGAAGGAGATAAACTTCAGACAAGCCGCAAGGCCTAGCCTGGGGAACCAGCAGACAGGGAGCAGAGTCATCGGCTTCAGGGGCCCCACCACCCAATCTCTTTCCAAGCCCACCTCTCACCTTAGCCAAGGGAGAGGACAAAGTCGCTCGCCGTCATTAATGAAAATAATACTCCGGGGAGGAGCCTCCCGCCTCGACTCCCGCCTCCTCACAAGAACGAATAGTGTTTAAAGTTGAAATAATTAGAAGTATGATAAACACGGCCCATTAATGAAAAAAGAAATCAAATTCATCAGCCTAAGTGGGACCCCCGGTGGGACAAATGTTTGCCTCTAATTACGCAAGATAAACGAAAACCCGGAGCTGTTAAACTCGAGCCCGCTCGGACGACGCAGACCTGAATAACTTGTTGGGTTTTCACAGACTTTGGGATTCTGCTTCAGTGGAGGTAAAAGGAAGGAAAAAGTGAGTGTTTGAGACTGGCGAAGGGAGCATTTGTGGGGGCCTGGGTCCCAGCCCTGCCCCCTTGGGCTCGGTCTTTCCTGAGGCCATGAGCAAAGGCTGTTTCCGTCCTATTGTCCAGGCCTGGCGTTCAAAGGCATGCGGGCCGCCACAGCCACCCCGCCTGCCGCCACTGCCAGGCACCTACCGCCCTGCCCCACAGGACCAAGACCCTTCAGCCTGTGCCCTTGGCAACTGGATTAGGATCCAGGGAAGGCCTGTGTTGCTAGAATCATCCACATATAGACTCTTATTAATCAATTTCCCCAACTTTCGGAGGGTGCCGAGAGACCTATGCCTATGCCTAAGTGTGGGGCTCCCCCTTCTTACCTCAACTTGGGAACATGAAAATCCAGGGGCTGCAGGCCACAGTGGGGCCAGGCTGTGCATACGACCTGACAAATCCCACCCAGGGCCAGTGCCCTGACCCCTTTCTCCCTTCCCGGGCACCCAGATCCTGGAAAGGCAGCAAGGACGGGGCTGGGCCTCCTTCTGCCTGTGGGGCTGTGAGCAGTGCAGAGGAGGAGGGTTCAGGAGCTCTGTGAATACTCTGGGAGGATCCAGCGGGTTCCACAGGGCAGCCCAAGGGCTGGGGCACTAGGGGTCCCCACGTGAAAGCAGAAGGAGGAAAATATGCTCAATGAACAAAAAAGGAACCTTGGTTGCTTTCCTGGCTGTAGCCCTCAACACACCCCAGAAGCACCCTGGTTTCTCCAGCAAAAATTATCCGAGTTTCCCCAAGAGGTTAAGAAAGTCAACTGGGAAATTCTGAAGATGAAGTGAGAAAGGAAGAATGTCTTTCCCTTTTGGGTTAAATAATAAAATAAAAATAAAATATGTGTATTGAAATCTTTCTAAGCAAAGAGAAAACAGAATCACACCAGAGATTGCAGGTTTTTTCCTCTTGCTTTGGAGGCTGAGATAAATCCTTCTCTTCCCAAAACTTAAAGAAAAGATTTGCTTTTCTTCTTCACTAGCACCAGGCTCTGCCCCAGCTGAATTGGAAGCAGGGAAATTCCAGGCAAAATTCAGAATGCCCAGAGACCCAGAAAAGAAAAAGATTTTCAAACAGGTACTAGAGGAAGGTAGGAGGCTGAGGACGCTTAGCGGGGCCTCTGGTCTACTCTGGACCTCACAGCCCCCGGGATAGCTCGGCCAGCAGAATCTGTCACATCTTGACATTGTACACACTTGCACACAGATGCTATGGAGTTCAGCATCTATACACGTGTCTAACTTGCACTTAAATATGTGTACACAGCCACAAATATTCACTTTTACCCAAAGTGCTGTCTGAGATCTCCGAATCCCGAATTTTGATAACCCGTACCAGTCTGACTGCTTCCTGGCCCTGCCGAAGCTGGCCAGTTATTTAATTTTGTCCCCTGAATTGAAACCAGACCGAAGACACCTCGGAGAGAAGCTTTGTGGGGAGGAAACGGGTGGGAGAATGTCTTAGGCAGGCCCTGCTCCCCACTTTAGTGGTTTGCTTCTCAGTTGCCCCCAGTAAGTCAGGTTTCCAGCTAGAGTCGGGGCTGTGGTTAGGCTGGCTTGCTCCGGAGAAAAACACCGATCCTTTCTTACCGGTTAAATTCCTTTTCAAAGATCTCTGTTTGCCTTCCTTTCCTTTCTTTTCTATTTTTCTTTTTTTTCTTTTCTTCTCTTCTTTCTTTCCTTCTTGTTTCATCCTTCTCTTTTCCTTTATTTGCTTCTTTCTGGTTTCCTTTTTCTTCCTTTCTGCCTGTAATATATTCTTTTCTTCTTTTTCCAATCCTTTCTCTTTCTTAATTGTCTTCCTTATTTCTCCCATTTCCTCATTTCCTTCTTTCTTTATTATACAATTCATTCTTTGCTCTTTTCTCTCTCCAATTATTTCCTTCCCCCTGACTTTCTTTCCTAGGCTTTCTTATTTTTCTCTGGTGTGCTGGGCTTAGTGAGGGGGACAGCACCAGGCTCAGTCGCATACCTCCCTAGCCCAGCTGCTAAGGCTTGGAGTTGACCTTCTCCCGCCCACAGCCTTAGCTCAGCTCCTCCTCACAAGGCGAAGTGTAGGGCTGCCAGCCGCCAGCAGCCAGGCCTCAGCAGTCGCCATTAGAGGGAGGAAAAATCGGATTCTGGGGCACATCCACACTAATGCTGATGGCTTCTTCAAGTGTCAGGATTCAGGGGTCATGTATTTTCACTTCCATCACCCCAAAGGAGGCTTGTCTACCAGGCCTGCCTTTGGAGAAGTTGTCCCATCTTTGTCCTGACCTCCGGAGCTGAAACATTAAAATGGCCCAAAGTTGAGCCCAGTTGGTGCTCCCAAGGCTGGAGTCAGGGGAAATGAGCGAATGGGATTCTGTCAGTCCCAGGATGAGGGGCAGGTCCAGGGGTCATCCGTGGGCAAGGCCATCTCCCACATGGCCGCCTTTGTTCTCTGCTCCTGGACTGCAGCCCTGCTGGCCCTCTGTCTCCTCTGGTCCTGCAACCACTGCAACCTCTGGGCAGGAGTTTCTTGGTGTTTTGGATTCTTTCTTCAAACCCATTGTTGACTTCACAGGCGGCAGGCCAGGATGAAGGGCTGTGTGTGCAGAGACCCTCCCAAACCAGCAGTCTGAGTCAAGGTTATGGGTCTTTGCTTTGTGCAGTGGATTGGAGAGGGGCTGTGCAGAGAGGTGTGTGTCTCTGTGTGTGTGTGTGTTTGTGTGTGTGTGTGTAGAGAGAGAGAGTAGTGCCTACAGGAGAACAAGAGGGTGTGATGGGGGAAGGTCTTGTCATGCTGATATTGTCCAAACTTTTAGAGTTTGTAAGTGTGCAAGAGCAGAGTGGACAGGACTCTGTCCAAAAATGCTCCAAAGCTGAGTCCAAGATGGGCCTCAGGAAGGACTGACTCAGACCTTCAAGCCAAGCCTTTTTGCCTTAGAGAAAGGCAGCTCCATACACTCCCTTCCCTGAACTGCCACCCCGCAGAGCCCCTCTCACCTCTGCCTCTCAAAGACCTGTGATTTCATCCTATGGCAAGACGAAAACTGACTTTTTTTTTTTTTTTTTAAGGGATGGGGAATCTTGTAAAATTTTTATGCCAAACAAAGTTATAAAAACTTCCCGGGCGTTGCCTTTTCCAAAGGTTTATATGAATAATAAAGAGTGCAGTCGCGTGCACTGGTTCTGGCGGGCTCTGAGTAGGGAGGGGTTAGCAAACAGCATTATCCAACCCTGGGGCACCAGAAAACCCCAGCGGCTCCCCGCTTCAGGGAATACTGGCCCAGAAACAATTGCCCTACGGATTCCTGAGAGAGGCGGGGAAAGCGAAGGGGTGGTGCCCTTGACTCCCTTGAAGTTCAAAGTTCTTCTTTGCCCTTAAGAGAAGAGCCCTCTCTGCTCTCAGCCCACTGGAGAAATTAGCCCAAGGTAGCTTCTCCCATTCTGGTTGAGAACTGGCTCTAGGTATCCCCAACTTTGTTCACCTTTCAGACACCTTTTGCTCCCCCAAAACAGAACTCCCCAGTCTTTCCATCTGGGACACCTAGAGCCAGGGGGCTTTCTCTCAGAGGTGCTTGGCAGGGGTTTTGAGTCTTCTTACAAGGGACCCTTGCACCGCCAAACCTCAGCCACCTAAGAGTCTAAGTGACAAAGAAACCCCAAACTCAAGGCTACTCCCAAACCCATTTCTCATTTCGAGTGCCCTTGATTCCTCCTGCACCCCCAAAGCCCATGGTTGGAGGGGGAGGGGCCCAGAGTGCTCTCTCAGCCCATACCACTTAATACCCTTGTAAACTCCCACGTGCGCTATAAACTTGGATTTTTACAACCAGCATTCCTCCTTAGCTCCGGGAAACTTTGAACTCGGCCTCAGGTTTATTTACTGTGGGGGGGGCGGTGGGGAGGAAAGGGGCTGGGGAGCTGGGAGCTGAGAAAGGCTGGAGAAAAGAGGAAAAATGTGGGGCAAGGGGCTGAGGAGGTGGGGGTCTGGGGTGTGTTGGAAGAACCAAGACCCTCCACTACAGGTTTGTTTACTATTTAGGGCGGAAGCGGTTTCTAATACAGGCCAGACTGAGTCGTTAAGGTCGAAATGAAACTGGGTTTAGAGACATGGGGTGGGGGTGCTTTATGGCAGTGTCTAGACGAGGATCTTTTGTTCCTGGGCAGTGCTGCGGCTGGAGAGGATTACCCCAAGAGGTTGAGCCCAGAGTGCCCCTGACCTGCAAGGGGGGTTGGACACCTTGGGAGACCGAAGGTGGGTTTGTTTGGGGGCCAGAAAACCCTTTTTCCTCCTTTTCAGAGGGTCACCAAGGACTGGCAGATTCCTGGCTTGGGTCGCAGAAGCCTTTGTTTTTCTTTCATGGTGACCTTCTCCTCTCATCCAGCAGAACTCTCTTTTGGAGCGGAGGACATTTCTGGGCTGCACATTGCAGAGAAAGTGGTACCTGTGGGTTTTAAATATTTTTCTCCAAAATCAGGCATTTGGAGGCTAATATTTTGCTTTATAAATAGGTTCATCTTATAGAGTTTCCTCTAGCCTAATTTTACAGGAAACATGACCAGCAGGCTAATATTTCCTAATGTGGCTAGTGGATAAACATCATACCTGGAGAAGTGTCACACATACACACACACACAAACGTACAGAGGCCCCTCAGTTGCATTCCTGCCCGGACTCAATGAACACTGCCAGTGGTTACACACCACAGAGACACAAGCTCTAGATGTGCATGTGGTCAGGTTTACTCCATACAACAGACAAAAGCATACAAATAATATTCCTTCTTATGTGCACCCATAGGCACACCGAGTTAAATAAAATGTTTGTGTGTGGGCACATGAGGGAATTGTGGGCTGCATATACACCCTAGTTTGCAAATCCTGTCTCACAACCTGACCCACGTTTACAAATTTGAAATTTAGATACCTAAACTGCAGGGATTCTTACCATCAAAAATGACAGAACCTAGATTTGATAGTCATGATGCTTTTTCCTTTCATCCAACAGAATTGTATTGACAAAAACATTTTCTTTGAATTATACAAAGACAGAAAGAGAGGGGAAAGATGAGATAAGTGGTCCCGAACCTCTGCTCCCAAATAATGAATTTGAAACAGAGACCAACGAAGTGCCCTCACTGAAAGCACTGCAAGGGCCATGATTATCTTTATACAGAAGAAACCTGCAACAAATATAGATGGGTATAGTGACTGTCCCCACAGGTCATCTCCATCCCCAGTGCCAACTCCTACAAAACAAATCTCTGGGGCTTTCTACTGTGGGACACCCAATGTGTAAACCTCAGGGTGGCCCCAGTACAGGCGTCTTGTTGTGTCTGGAAGAGCCTGGCCATTTGTGCCAGAGGGAAAGCAGCCAGTCCCCACCTTCCCACCCCCAGGAGCTGTGGAGAGGAGAGGGAGGGGCTGGTTTCTCCTTCTGTCCCCTCCTTCCTTAAAAACAGTGTGTAAAAATTCCAATACAGACTTCTCATAGAGAGAGAGAGAGAGAGAGAGAGAGAGAGAGAGAGAGAGAGAGAGAAAAGCTCTACCCTTCACACTACACATTTAACTGCGACAGACGGAGACATCTGGCAGAAGGGCGGTGGAGCCAAAAAAATTCCTATAAATTTAAATTCGATGATGGTTACAATTAACTCCACAACAAACGTGTACTTAAACAGAAAGCCGTTGCTGGGCGTTTGGACACAGCTCGAGCTGCACGTGAGAAAGGAGAGCTTCAGAGTAGCTATGGAATGTCCTCAGCTTGAGAATGTGAGGAAACTACGGCCATACTCTTGGCCCTGCCAGCGGAGAGCAGCTCCAGGCCGGCCAGCACCGGCCTATCTCACCTCTGCTTGCCTGTCCTCACCGGCT